ATAATAATTCTGAATATAAACAAATTAAATTTCCCACCTAAAAGATATGGACTGGCTAACTGAATTTTAATGACCCACCTATATGCTGCCTACAAGAAACTCATTTCACCTATAAAGAGATAGAGACTGAAAGTGAAGAAATGGAAAAAGATATCCTATGCAAACAGAAATCTAAAATGAACAGGAGTAGCTATACCTATGTCCGATAAAACAGACTTTAAATCAAAAACTTCAAAGAGGCTAGCCACAGTGGCTCAAACCTGTAATCCCAGCCCTTTGGGAGGATGAGGAGGGTGGATCCCTTGGGCCCAGGAGTTCAAGACCAGCATGGGCAATATGGCAAAACACCATATCTACAAAAAACACAAAATATTATCTGGGCATGGTGGTGTGTGCCTGTAGTCCTAACTATTTGGGAGACCAAGGTGGGAGAATCACCTGAACCCAGAAAGTGGAGGCTGCAATGAGCCATGATTGTGCCACTGAACTTCAGCCTAGGTGACAGAGTGAAAAAAAGAGGAAAAAAAAAAAAAAAAACACCTACAGAAAGAGACAAAGAAGTTTTTTACATAATAATAAAAGGATCAATTCAGCAAAAGGATATAACAATTCTAAATATATATGCCCCCAACAGTGGAGCACTCAGCTCTATAAAGCAAATATTATTAAATCTAAAGGGAGAGACGGACTCCAATATAATCATAGTTGGGGACTTTAGCACCCCACTTTCAGCATTAGACCAGATCATCTAAACAGAAAATCAACAAAAAAAAGTTGGATTTAAACTGCACTTTAGGCCAAATGTACCTAACAGATATTAACAGAACGTTTTATTCAACAGCTGCAAAATGCTCATTCTTCTCATTAGTACATGGAATATTCTCCAGGATTTACCATATATTAGGTAACAAAGCAAATCTCCACAAATTTTTTAACATTAAAACCATATCAAGTATCTTCTCAGAACACAATGGAATAAACTAGAAATCAATTACAAAAGGAATATTGGAAACTGTAAAAATGCACGGAAATAAAACATCATGCTCTTAAACTATCATTGGGTAGATGAAGAAATTAAGAAGGAAAACTTTAAGTTTCTTGAAACAAATAAAAATGGAAATGCAACATACAAAAATCTATGAGATACAGAGAACTTCATAGCAATAAACACTTACATCAAAAAGGTAGAAAGACTATAAATGGACAGCCTAACAATGTACCTCAAGGAAGTAGAAAAGCAAGAACAAATCAAAACCAAAATGACTAGATACAGACCAGGTGCAGTGGCTCACACCTGTAATCCCAACACTTTGAGAGACCGAGGTGGGTAGATCACCTGAGATCAGGAGTTCAAGACCAGCCTGGCCAACATGGTGAAACCCTGTCTCTACTAAAAATACAAAAATTGGCCGGGCATGGTGTTGCATGCCTATAATCCCAGCTACTGAGGAGGCTGAGGCAGGAGAATCACTTGAACCCTGGAGGCAGAGTTTGCAGTGAGCCAAGATCACGCCACTACACTCCAGCCTGGGTGACAGAGCGAGACTCCATCTCAAAAAAAAAAAAAAAAAAAAAAAGATACTAGAAATGAAGAAACAAAGATCAGAGAACTAAATTAAACAGTGACTTAAAAAATACAAAGAATTAATAAAATGAAAAGTTGGTGTTTTGAAAAGACAAAATCAATACACTGCTAGCTCAACTAACCAAGAAAAGAAGAAAGACCCAAATAAATAAAATCAGAAATGAAAAAGAAGGCATTACAATTGATACTACAGAAATAAAAATAATCATTAGAGACTATTATGAACAACTATACACTAAGAAACTGCAATACTCAGAGAAAAAGTAGATACATTCTTAGATACATACAACTTACCTAGATTGAACCAGGAAGAAATAGAAAATCTGAACACACCAATAACAAGTAACAAAATTCAAACAGTAATAACAAGTCTCTCAACAACAATAAAAAAGCCCAGGACCAGATGGCATTACTGGCAAAGTCCACCAAACTTATGCTGGTGAGGATGAAGAGAAAAGGGAACGATTATACATTTTTGGTGGGGATGTAAACTAGTATTAATGCAACCACTATGGAAAACCATATTGAGAGTTCTCAAAAAACTAAAAATAGCTGAAATACAGGTGTGTGGTGGCTCACACCTATAATCTTAACACTAGAGGGCTGAGGCAGGAGGATTGCTTGAGCACAGGAGTTTGAGACCAGCCTGGGCAACAGAGTGAGACCTCATCTCTATAAAAAGTTTTAAAAAATTAGCCAGGCATGGTGGCACGTGCCTGTAGTCCCAGCTATTCAGGAGGCTGAGGAGGGAGGATCCCTTGAGCCCGGGATGTCAAGGCTGCAGTAAGCCATGACTGTGCCACTGCACTCCAACCTGGGAGACAGAGCGAGACCCTGTCTCAGTTAAAAAAAAAAAAAACACACACACACACACACATTAAAAATAGAACTACCATATGACCCAGCAGTCCTACTACTGGGTATATGTAAAGGAAAAGAAATCAGAATTCAAAGGGATGCGTGCACTCACAGGTTTATCACAGCACTATTCATAATTACAAAAATATGGAACCAACCAAAGTGTTCATCAATGGATGAATGAACAAAGAAAATGTGGTGTATATATACAAAATGGAATGCTATTCAGACACTAAAAAGAATGAAACCCTGTCATTTGCAGAAACACAGATGGAACTAGAGGTCATTGTGTTAAATGAAACAAGCCAGGCACAGAAAGACAAATACTGCATGTTCTCATTCATATGTGGGAGCTTAAAAAGTTGATATTGTAAAGGTAGAGAGTAGAATGATAGAGGCCGGGTGCAGTGGTTCACACCTGTAATTCCAGCACTTTGGGGCTGAGGCAGGTGGATCACTTGAGGTCAGGAGTTCGAGATCAGCCTGGCCAACATGGCGAAACCCCGCCTTTACCAAAAATACAAAAATTAGTCAGGTGTGGTGGCACGCACCTTGTAGTCCCAGCTACTCAGGAGGCTGAGCCAGAAGAATTGCTTGAACCCAGGAGGTGGAGGTTGCAGTGAGCAGAGATCACGCCACTGCACTCCAACCTGGGTGACAGAGCAAGACTCCATCTCAAAAAAAAAAAAAAAGAAAAAAAAGAGAGAGTAGATTTATAGACACTAGAGGCTGAGAAATGTGAATGAGTAGTGAGAGGAATGCAAAGAGGTAAGTAATGGGTACAAATATACAGTTAGATAAAAGGTATACGTTCTATTGGTCAACAGCAGAGTAGAGTGATTATAGTTAACAACAATGTATGTTTCCCAGTAACTGGAAGAGAGAACTAGAATTGTTCCCAACACATAGAAATGATAACTACTCAATATATAGACACCTCAAATACCCTGACTTGATCATTACACATTCTATATATGTAACAAAATATCACATGTACCCCATAAATATGTAAAATATTATGTGTCAATAAAAAAGGGAAAAATAAGTAAAGGTTGGCTATTATACTATTTTAAAAAAGAAAAAAGACATTAAGTTACTAAAAAGACAAAAACTTACGTAACTTGCCCAATATACAGCTCATGAGTAGCAGATGCAGGATTTGAACTGAGGACTATCTAACTACAAAGCTGGTGTTGTTTCCAATCTATTAACTGGAAAAAGTGCACAGAAGGAACACTTTGTGGGACAGGGTAAGGAATGGTCTTTCCATTTCCACTGACTTTAAATACCTTAGTAGACGGAACACCTTTTTCTCTTTGCATGTGCTCATTTTTCTGACTTATATGTGTGCCAATAAACATATGGGTGATGCTAAAGATAAACCAACACTACTGATTTCCATTGCTACCTTCAAATATTGCCATTCACAGTTTGTGAGGGGTGGGACCACTCTCTGTTGATTGCTGTGGGGGTGGCCAACTGTTTGCATTTTGTTTATCATTGCTTTTGATGAGTCATAGAGAGTTGTGCATTATTCATAAACTTTAGATTTGAATAAAGTTCCCTATGCAAATTCTGCTCACTGGAGGCTCCAATCCAGGATTGAAATAAATAGCAGCAGATAATGAAGTAGATAGCCCAACTTGTGCTTTCAATCTGTGTGAACTAATGCCCAGAGAACCAGAGAGAGGTTGGGAGAGTGGGTTTTTACTCAGAGTCCTGTCATGCATATTATAAAATGAAAATTGGAATATTGATAGATATATGACAAAACTGAAATAATCCATTAGGCATCTGAAAATTCCAATAGCCTTTAAACTAAAAAAATAAAAAGGAAAACAATCTCACGCAGGTGTTAGGAGTTAGAGCTGTTCCAACCAAAACATGAGCTAGCAAAAATCTGTCTTAAAGTTGTCAACCTCCCATTCTTCCTCCCTTTATTCCTAAGTGGCGCTCTCACCACCTCCTATTCCTCAAATATTTAGATTAAGTTATCTGTCACCATTTACTAATCCACTCATTCTTCCTTCAAACCGAGGTATAAATGACTAATAGTAACTTAAAGAACTAGTCTTTCCACAGGCATTTACATTGAAACTAAATCAATATCTTAAGTAAAGGGATTATGTTTTGTAGTGGATATCTGCCATTTGTAGTTGCCCAAAATCTTTTTAATATCTCATACAAAGAAATGTATTCTGATATATATTAAAGAGTAGGTAACATATTGTGATGGTTAATTCTATATGTCAACTTGATAGTCCACAGAGTGCCCAGATATTTGGTTAAATATCTTGGTGTGTCCTTGGTTAAATATTTTGGTTAAAAATTGGTTAAATATTCTTGGTGTGTCTGTTGAGGGTGTTTCTGCATGGCATTAATATCTGAGTATGTACACTGAGTAAAGCAGATTCCCTTCGCCCTAGTGTGAGTGGACCTCATTGCTTGAATAGACTAAAAGACTAAAGACTGTGTAAGAAAGTATTCTTTCTTTTTACCTATATTCAAGTGGGAGCACTGGTCTTTGCCAGCCTTCAGACTTAAACTGTAACTATACCTTTTCTTCTCCTGGGTATCCAGCTTTTGGGACATCTCAGCCTCCATAGTCACATAAACCAATTCCTGATAGTAAATCAAATCTCTCATTAGATAGATGGAGATATATATACATATATTTTGTTTGTTTGTTTGTTTTGTTTTTTGAGACAGAGTTTCACTCTTGTTGCCCAGGCTGGAGTGCAATGGCGTGATCTTGGCTCACCGCAACCTCCGCCTCCCAGGTTCAAGTAATTCTCCTGCGTCAGCCTCCTGAGTAGCTGGGATTACAGGCATACACCATCACGCCCGGCTAATTTTGTATTTTTTAGTAGAGACGGGATTTCTCCATGTTGGTCAGGCTGGTCTCGAACTCCCAACCTCAGGTGATCCGCCCACCTCAGCCTCCCAAAGTGCTGGGATTATAGGTGTGAGCAATCACGCCTGGCCTTATAAATATATATTTTGTTGGTTCTATTTCTCTGGAGAACCCAGACTAATATATATATTCATTATAAAAGACTAGAAAGTAATGAATACCTGTGGGCCTACCACCCAACCCAAGAAACAGCTTACTATTGCTCTCCCTTTTTCTATTCTCTAGCCTTTTTACCAGATGCCCAAAAATATCTTGAACACCTTCTTAACACTTTGAAAGTGTTCCACTTTGTGGATCTTGCCTTTTCAAAAACAAATTTTTAAAAACTGTACTTCCCAGCATTTCTTGTGCTAAGGTGCCAGTAGGTGATGGAGATTTCACTGAACAGATGCACCTATATTAGACATATTCAGAACCAAGTGATATGGAGAAAAGGCAGGGCATGGGGCGCCCATATTTCTAGCACAGACTGGAACTGGCAGCTATGTTGGCCTCCTGATCATAGCAGATGCTGTAACTCCCTTGGAAAGCCATTTTAGAATGTTGAAATGCACACTGGGGTGCATTATTCCTGAAGGTTCACCTAGAGTCTATTTCTTCAGCTTTCATAATGTTTCTTTAATAATTTATCCCTTAATAAATTCCTTCATGCCTAAAGTAACCAGAGTAAATTCATTGACTGCAATTAAGGAACTCTGACCAATTAAGAAAACTATACCAGAAGTGATTGCAAACAATAGATTTCAAAAACATGAAAAACTTGGATTGGTTATCTGACCTGATTGGGTTTGAAGTGAGTGAGCGGGTACCATTAAGTGATTGGACACTAGTAATTATACGAGGTGGTAAAACAGCTTCTTAAATGACTACCTGTGATCATTTGGAATAAAATGCCTTCTGAAGCCAAGGTTTGGCTTTCCTTTTGATTGTTGCAATATACCACTATGTGGGGCAAAGGAATACAGGAAGTATGGGTTAGGATAGCTGACTTTATTAGCATCAATGAGCTTTAAAAAAGAACAAGGCGGCCGGGCGCGGTGGCTCATGCCTGTAATCCCAACACTTTGGGAGGCCGAGGCAGGCAGATCACTTGAGTCTGGGAGTTTGAGACCAGCCGGGGCAACATGGTAAGACCCTGTGGCCCACATCTGCAGTCCCAGCTATTAACACTTAGGTGGGTGAGGTGTGAGGATGGCTTGAGTCCAGGAAGTAGAGATTACAGTGAGCTGAGATCGTGCAATCACACTCCAACCTGGGTGACAGAGCAAGACCCTGTCTCAAACAAAAAAAAGAAGGAAAAGTAAAAGTCCAAAGAATTAAAACTCACAGATCAAGAGATTGTTAGGGAAGGGAATGTCAGAGTTTCTAGGACTCCTCTTAAAGAACTTTTCTCTCTTATGGCCAAAGGGCTGTCATGGCCAAAGAGCAAACGCAGAGTCAAATCTGGCCAGTTACTGAATTTCAACACAGGCTGAATTCATGGTCCTCACTACATCTCACACGTGAAAGGGCACTGGGAAAGAATGGGACCAAAGAATTAGAATGAGAGCATTTAGGAGGAACTGGATTATTCAGCACACTCAAACACTATTACGCCTCCCTTACCAAAGGAAGGAGCCCCTCCTCCCCAATCTGAAGATGTTGGTTAAAGATCTTATAACAGGGGCATCTAATCTTTTAGCTTCCCTGGGCCACATTGGAAGAAGCAGCATTGTCTTGGGCCACACATAAAATACACTAACACTAATGATATCTGATGAGCTTTAAAAAAAAAAAAAAAAATCACAAAAGGCCAGGCGTAGTGGCTCACCCTTGTAATCCCAGCAGTTTGCAAGGCCGAGGCAGGTGGATCATGAGGTCAGGAGTTTGAGACCAGCATGGCCAACACAGTGAAACCTCATCTCTACTAAAAAGACAAAAATTAGCTGGGAGTGGTGGTGCATGCCACTCGGGAGGCTGAGGCAAGAGAATCTCTTGAACCCGGGAGGCAGAGGTTGCAGTGAGCCAAGATCGTGCCACTGCACTCCAGCCTGGGCAACAAAGCTAGACTTCATCAAAAAAAAAAGAAAGAAAGAAAGGAAGAAAAAAAATTCACACAAAAAAACTCATATTTTTAGAAAGTTTATACAAATTTGTGTTGTGCCACACTTATCAAAGCCATCCAGGTCTGCATGCAGCCTGCAGGCTGCAAGTTGGACAAGCTTGCCTTACAATGACCTCACCTGAGAGAGTTACTTCCTACAGGAATTCATACCCTAAACCTATGACCTTTTCTTTCCTCCACATTCATAACTAGTTCCAGATTCCAACATGCCCATAAAGGCCAATTTTAAAATTCAAACCTAGAAGGAAAAGATTCATACACCAGAAGAATTGTAAGATTTTGCTAATTAATATTTGCAAAAACCTGGAGAATATACTGAATTTCTACCAAAAACATAATTTTATAGCACAAGTTATTGACATAGATAAACTAACCAGAGGTTCTGGATTCATTCTACATAGCTTGAGCCAATAGTTAACTTGGCTGGTTGACTGAAACCTGGACTCCACTGCGGCCTATTGCTGAAAGAAGTTGAAATGCCAAGACTAGAGGCTTATAGTGATAAGAATGTTGAAATAAATATATCATATACAACATCTCACATATACCCAAAGTAAGCCTATAGAATACTGCCTTTTCCAAGTTACCAAGAAAAACACTGATGAGGTGAGAACAAGAATCCTTGAATAATGCTTTGATGAATTTATTCTGTACTCTGGAGATGAAGGTGGGAGATACTGCTATTGGAATTAATTCCCTGTTTTCAGTGGAGTTTATGGGTTCCCAGAGGGGCAGACACCAAATAGCAGGATTTAACTGCCAGAAACCTAGTAGCTATGATTATTATAATAGCAAAATAACTTGACTTGCAGGGATCTTTTGGTGGTAGCTAATTGATCATGGTATGCCTAAAAATGAACTAGATGAGCAGCCTACAAAGGACATAGGTCAGCTCTGTCTGACCTATGAAAAAATTATAGGCCTAGTGAATCTAGAATTAAATCATTATACTTGGCTTCCATTATCACTAGAGAGTCCAATACCCACACTCTCAATTCAGTGAATGAAAGGGAGGACCTTTGAGGAAGGACATAACAAGAACCTATGAAAATCTTCCTCTACCTCTTCCCCAAAAGGACCAGCATCCATCCACCAAGGTAACTGTGTACTAGAGAAAGAGAAATATTTATACCTTTCACAAATTATTGAACATGGCTTTGAACTTGTACTAATCCCTGGGAACCTAGAATATCACTGTTTCCCCTACTCAGAACAGGGCTTTATTTGTGGGAATCCAGTAATAGAGAGTTTGAGTCTAAGTCCACCTCATGATGGGTACAGAGTTTCTGTGAATCCAACCTCTTGTTATTTCTCCCATTTCCTAATTTATAGTTTGAATGGACAAACCCAGGAAATAGCAGAATCCTCAAATTGGCTTCCTGACCCAAAGTAAGCACTACTGGGACTGCCCCTTCCTAACAAAATAGTAAACCGAAAGCAACATTACACTTTTAGGAGAATTCTAGATATTAGTAACCTTATCAAAACTGCAGCCCTAAAGACTTGACCAAAAAAACTGTTGGAATTATTAAATGAATTCAGCAAAGCTGTAGGATACTAAATCAAATACAAAAATCACTAACATTTCTATATACTAACAAACTCTCCAAAAAAATTTTAATCTCATTTACAATAGCTACAAAAATATATGATATACTTAGGAATGAATTTAACCAAGGACATGAAAGATATATATACTGAAATCTATGAAACACTGATGAAAAAAATTGAAGGAGACAAAAATAAATGGAAAGATATTCCATGTTTATGGATTAGAATAATTGACATTATTAAAATGTCCATACTACCTGAAGTAACCTACAAATTCAGTGCAATCACTGTCAAAATTCCAATGACATTTTCCCAGAAATAGGGAAAAAAAGGTCCTAAAATTTGTAGGGAACCATAAAAGATTGAGAATAGTCAAAGAAATTTTGAGAAAAATAAACAACACTGAAGGCATCATGTTGCCTGCTTCAAAATTGACTGTAAACATAAAACTCAAAACAGCATGGTACTGGCATAAAAACAGACACATAGACCAATGAAACAGAATAGAGAGCCCAGAAATAAATCCACATTTTTATAGCCAATTGACTTTTGACAAAGATGCCAAGAACACATAATGAGGAAAGGGCAGTCTTTTCAATAAAGAGTGTTGAGAAAACTGGATGTCAACTTGCAGAAGAATGAAACTGGACCCTTATCTCACACCATATATAAAACTAAACTCAAAAGGAATTAAAGACTTAAATGTAAGACTTGAAACTCTAAAACTACTAGAAGAAAATATAAGAGAAAAGCTCAATGGCATTGGTCTGGGCAAAGACTTTTTGGATATGACCTGCAAAAGCACAGACAATAAAAGAAAACGTAGACAAGTGAGATTACATCAAACTAAAAAGCTTCTATATTGCAAAGGAAACAATCAACCGAGTAAAGAGACAACCTATGGAATGGGAGAAAATATTTGCAAACTATACATCTCATAAAGGGTTAATATTTGAACTATATAAGGAGCTCAACTCAATAGTAAGAACACAAATAACCTGATTTTTAAATGGTCAAAGGACCTGAATAGATATTTCCCAAAAGAAGATATAC